CCGGCGGGCCCTGGGGGGCTGCTGCCCCTGGCTGCGCCCTCCCCACCGGCCAGGCTCTGGAAGGACCCAGGAGGTGCCCCCGGCAGCAGCCCATGGCCCGGAGGGTAGGTCTGAGGGCGGGACCGCTGCATCCCCATCCCCATCTCCCCTCCCGGCGCTCCCGCCCCGTCGCCCACCCTGCTCTCCCAGGTCTTTCTCTGCCCTCCCTTCTCTCTGCCTCAGCCCTCCTGCTGCCCGCCCTCCGCGGTCTCGCCCCGGTCTCCCCCTGCTGCCCCTCGGTCTCCTCCTCCGTCGCTGGCCTTTTATCCCAGCTCCTCCACCCCGTCCCTTCCCTTTTCTGCCCTCCCCCACCCTTCTCCCCGGTCTACTTTGTTCTGAACCCCCACCCTGAGGGTTAGGGGTGGAGACCGAGCGAGAGGTGGGTCTCCCGGCTGCGGGGCCCGGGTGCTCCTTTTTGGTCCTAGAGTTGGGAGAGAGACTGGAGAGGAGGTGGCAGAGGTGGCACCAGGGCGGCGGGCAGGAGCTCCCCCTTCCGAGGGACCCCACTTAGAACGGCACGGCGGGAGCAGTGGGTTCCACTTAAAGGCTCAGGAGAAGTTAGAGGAAGTGAAGATGGGGGAAGAGGCAGACGCGAGAGCGCCGGGTGCGCCGGGTGCGCGGGGTGCCCAGGGCCGGGCCTCCGCGGGGCACGGAGCCCTGGGCAGGGGCGCGCTTCCCCTCCCTTTGCCAGTCCCTTGGAAAGGGTGTGACCTGAGGAGCAGGGGTGTCCCTGGCACCGCGTCCTGGTCCTGGTCCTGGTTCTGTGAGGGCGAGATGTGGAAGCTCACCCCAGAGCTCCCGCTGCTTTCGGGGCTGTGTGCACAAGTGTGTTTGCGCAGTTGTGAGAGGTGGCCCTCTCCCTCACCGAGTGTTTCTGAGTGTGTGCGGCGCATCCATGCGTGTGCCAGTCTCATTCGTTCACATGCCGGCTAACTCGTTCCTTCACTCCAGTGCCTGGCGGTGTGTGTGTGTGTGTGTGTGTGTGTGTGTGTGGTGTCTCCACTGACTCAGGTGGGCTTGTGGTACTTTCAGCCTGGGGGTACTCAGCGCGTGTGGGCGGGGGTTTAGGTGGGACTGACACGAGCGTGCATGTGCTTGGTGTCAATGGCTGTGTGCCCGGTGGATTCACGTGGGGTGTGACAGGTTAAGACACACTCACATGTGCGCACTTGACAACCGCGAAACAAACAGAAGTGCGTGCGAGTTGTGTTGTGTCAGGAGCGGGTCCTTGGTGGGGTTCCCTCCCTGACCCTCTCCCCTCCCCTCTGCTGAGGAGCTGTCACCAGCCTCGCC